CCCCCCCCCCCCCCCCGCTCCCCACACACGTTCTGGCTTTCAGATTGAATTGTTCAGGAAGGGAAGAAGAGGAAAAGGAAAAGGAAAAGACCTACTGAGCTTTCATTTCAATACCTACTTTGTTTTCAGGTCTATTTCAGCTTCACTTTGGTTCTTTTTCCATACTGTCTTTAGTTCTGCCTGTTTTTGCATTGAATACAAATGGAATCATGGAGCAGTCATTTTGTGTCTGGTTTTTTTCTGCCCAACATTGTATTTGTGAGATTTGTGAGGTGCAGCATGCAGCTTTAATTGTGTATTTCACTACTAAATAGTATTCCATTGTTTGAATATACTGTAACTTATCTATTCTGCAGCTGACAAACATTTGGGCTGTTGTCAACTTGGGGCTATTACAAATAATGAAGCTGTGACTGCTCTTATGCAACAACATGTCTGCTGCTTCCATGTGCGTGCAACTATGTTGAATATGTATAGGAATACAATGACTGGGTCATGGGATTCATCCCCATGTTTATCCCCAATGTAAGGAGATAATGCCATTATATTTTCCAAAGTGGTTCCATCACCTTTCTATCACCTTTCCATTCCCTTGAATGGTAGACGATGTCATTGTATTTATTTATTTATTTATTTATTTATTTAGAGAGCGTGAGCAGGGGAGAGGGGCTGAGGGAGAGAGAGAACCTCTAGCAGGCATCATGCTCAGCACGAGTCCGATGTGGGTCGTTATTTATTTTTTTAATTAATGTACTTACTTGTTTAGAGAGCATGAGTGGGAGAGAGGGGCAGAGGGAGAGGGAGAACCTCAAAGAGGCATCATGCTCAGCATGAGCCTGATGTGGGTCGATCCCATGACCCTGGGATCATGACCTACACAGAAACCAAGAGTCAGATGCTCAATTGACTGAGCCACCCAGGTGCCCCGCACGGTCATTTTAATTGAACCATTCTTGTGGGCATCTAGTAATATCTTTTTGTGATTTTAACTTGCATTTCCCTGAGACTAATAAGGTTGAACACACTTTCCCATATTTATAGGTCATTTGGATTTCTTTTTTTAATGAAATCCCTGTTTGAGGCCCTTACTTAGCCTGTTTTTCTGAAGGGTTTTGACTTTCATATTTTGGTCTACATCCACCCAGATGTGTGTGGTGTGGACATCATAGTTCATCCCTCCCGTGCACGAACACAGCCAACTCTAGCACCATCCACTGAAAAGCTGTCCTTTGCCCACCAGACTGCTGTATCATCTCTGTCACACAATCAAATGTCCATGTACAATGTGCGTTTCCTTCTGCGCTTCAGATCGTTTCATTGTTCTACTTATCTCTCCTGCATTAGTACCATATACTCTTTTTTTAAGTTTATTTATTGTGAGAGAGAGAGATACTGAGTGATTGTGGGAGGGGCAGAGAGAGAGAGAATCCCAAGCAGGCTCTGCGCTGTCAGTGCAGAGCCCGATGCGGGGCTCGAAATCACGAACCATGAGATCGTGACCTGAGCTGAAACCGAGAGTCAGACGCTTAACCGACTGAGCCGCTCAGGTGCCCTGCCACCATACTCTTCTAAATAAGTTTTGATAACTGGAAAAGCAAATTTTCCCATCTTGTTCTTTTTAAGAATGTCTTAGCTATTCTTGACCTTTTGCATTTCCCATTAAATCTTAGAGTCAGCTTGTTATTTTCTTAAAGAAAACAAAAACAAAAACAAACCCTGAACATTAGAGGGATTTTGATTGATACTGGATTGAATTTATAGATCCATTTGGGGAGCATTAACATTGTTATAATAATGAGTCTTGCACATTACAAGCATCTCACTGCTTTTGTCTTCTTGGATTCTCTTAACATTTTATCATTTCCTGCATACCCATCTTACACATCTTTTGTTCCACATCTTATTTATTCCTAGGTACTTGATATGTTGATGCTATAGGTTGTATTTTATTTCATGCTGTTGATATACAGAACACAGTTTTTTTGTTTGTTTGTTTGTTTGCTTTTGTATCCATTAGCAACC